ATCCTCCTTTTTGCTGAGGAAGACTGGCCCTGGGCTAAACATCCGTGCCCATCTTCCTCCACTTTATATGGGACGCCACCACAGCATGGCCTGACAAACGGTGTATCTGTGCGTGTCCAGGATCCGACCCAGTGAACCCCTGGGCGCAGCAGCGGAGCGCGCGCACTTAACCGCTTGTGCCACTACGCGGGCCCCTACTGTTACTTTTTAAAGGACTTTTACATCTGTGATCAGAAAGGAACCTGTTCAGTAGTTGTCTTTTCTTATAGTATCTTTGCTTGGTTTTGTGATGGAATAAATGTATTGGGCTGTTTCCTCCTCCATTTGCTGAAAGAGTTTGTGTTGGATTGTATCTTTGTTTTCTTAAATTTTGGATAGAATTCATCCAGACCTCAAGTTTTCTTTGTGGGAAGATTTTTAATTAAGAATTTAGTTTTTTAAAACTTTTCGAGGCCGGCCCTGTGGCGCAACCGGTTAAGTGTGCACATTTCGCTGCGGATACCCAGGGTTCGAAGGTTCGGATCCCAGGCGCACACCGACGCCCCGCCTGGCAAGCCATGCTGTGGCGGCCTCCCATATAAAGTGGAGGAAGATGGGCATGGATGTTAGCCCAGGGCCAGTCTTCCTCAGCAAATAGAGGAGGATTGGCAACGGATGTTAGCTCAGGGCTAATCTTCCTCACAAAAAATAAATAAATAAATAAAAGTTTTCATATTTTTGTGTCCTGAGTCAATTTTATTAATTTATGTTTTGTAAGATATTGATTTTTTTCTAAGTTATCAAGTTCAGGGATATAATGTTTCTCTTTATATCGCATCATTATCCTTTTCATTATTGTAAGATCTATACTGACGGGAGTGTCCTCCAGAAGGAAAATGGTGGGTCGTTTGAGAGGAGCGGGCGTGATGGTGAAGGTGGAACCGAGACGGGAGGGCGGGGGATGGTGGAGGAGAGAGGGGCTGAGGGGCCGGAGGAGAAAGGGGAGGAACTTGGGTGGCAGGAGGAGAGGAACTGACTTCCACATCATCTGCCAAACAATCCCAGAGGGCGGGCCCTGGGGAGGAGCTCCGTGAGGACCACCCGCGCCCCCGCACACGGGCAGGACAGTGACTCCGTCTGGGTGCCACCGTGAGGTGACGGCCCGTCGGGCTCTGCGCACAGCGGAGTCCCCGTCCCCGCTGCAGGTCGCGACGGCGCCGACCGCGGGCCCCAAGTTTAGTCTCGGCCTCCTGCTCGCGCTCCTGCTGCTGCGGCGGGACGGTGCCCGGGCGGCGCGCGGCCGTGAGTTTGGGATGGAACCTGCGGGAAGTGTGGGGGGGGGGAGGGCATAGATTAGGATCGGGGGAGGGGACACGGGCTCCCGGGCGCTCAGGTGTCTTGGCCGGTGGGGCTGCCGTCTCCCCTTAAGTTTTCATCCCTGGGCTCCAGTCCCCCCTCTGGTTGTCACCTCTGGCCAAGCGGAGGGCGGGTAAAGAGCCCACTTGGGCGAATAAGAAAGTCCGGAGAATGGGAGAGAGCGCGGCGGGAAAGGCTGCTGAAGCCCCCAGTGCCCAGCCCGCCCGCGCCCCGGGAAGTGGGAGCCCGGGACCCTAGCACCCGAGCCGTGGCCAGGACAGGGCGCGTCCCCGCAGGGGCTTAAACCCAGACGCAGCCTGCCCTCGTCTGCTGGCGCCACTATTCCCACACACCCTCCATCCTGCCCACCTCTCTCCCCCAGGAGCTTCACCGCAGGCATGCACGCACACACGTGCAGCCAGCCGCTGTCCCTCAGGAGCCCCTGCTCCTCCACCCCAGCTCACACCCTTTCCCTGCCCGCCTCACCCCGTCCCCATGCTCCCCAGGGCCTCCAACACCTTCCCAAATGGGAGCTGTCTCTAATCACCTCTCTACCAAGTGACACCTTATCCGCCTACCTGAGCACACACTCCGGCAAAATTCTCCACACCTGGCAGCCAGAACCTGGACTAGGAGGGATGGGAGGCAGGGGCGTGGCTTCTTGCCAGGCAGACACCTCCTCCTCCTCCTCTAGCAGGCGAGGTGCACTAGCCTTGAACTCCTGGCAGGGGCAGTGTTGGCTCTGCAGCCCAGCCCTTCAGAGAGTCTCTTGCTGTGGCAGAGATGGGGGTGAGGGCAGCCTAGAGGTCATTTTTCCCCAACCCCAATGCTCACCTGTGTTTCTCCTTCACAGATGCTGGCTCTCTTTGCTATGACTTCACTATCATTCCTGAGCCCAGACCTGGACAAGCACGGTGTGAGGTTCAAGGCCAGGTAGATGGAAAGACTTTTCTTTCCTATGACTGTGGCAGAGACGAGGTGAAATCCTTGAGTCTCCTGGGAGAAGAGGTGAATGGCACGAGGGCCTGGCAGGAACAGATGGAAACGCTGAGAGACGTGGGGGACTTGCTCAGACAGCGACTTCCAGACATTAAACCAGAGAAATACACAGACAGGGGTAAGTGAGAAAGTCCAAGTGCAGGACGGAGCAGGTTGTGGGGTAAGAGGCCTTGATGGTACTCATGTCAAATCAAAGAATGGATGTTGGTCATTTCCAAGTAGCCCAGCAGAAACGGCAGGCCTGGGAGGAGACAACAGGATAGATACAAAGGGGTCCAGAGGGGCTGGACAGTGGGATGGCGGGGGGCAAAGGATTTATCCAGAACAGAGGATGACCTCTTTCCCATGGGTGGGTGGCAGATCCTCTCCCCATGCAGGGCAGGATGATGTGTCAGTGTAAAGCCCATGGACACATGAGCGCATCCTGGCAGCGGCTTCCATGGACAGATGTTCCTCCTCTTTGACTCGGAGAATGGAACCTGGACGGTGCTTCAACCTGGAGGCAGACGGATGAGAGACATGTGGGAGAGTGACAGGGACATGACTGAGTTCTTCACAAAGATCTCGATGGGAGACTGCAGGAGATGGCTTGAAAATTTCTCCATCCACTGGTTGAAAACGCAGGAGACAACAGGTACCAGAAAAGAGAAGGAGGGAGTGGTAGCTCTCTGGAGATTAGAGCAGCCTGCCCCACCTTCTGTGTGTGTGTCGGTGTGTGTGTGTGCGCGCGCACACGCCTGTGTGTTTGAAACGGTGATCCATCCACGGTGAGTTCTTCTTGGTAAAATAATGGCCATAGGTAGCTACTAATGTCCTTCCTTTCCCTTCTCAGCTCCTGACATCTCTTCCTCACTGCACATCCCTCTTGTCCACTCACCATGGATTCTGGCTGACCCCAAACATGAGGGCATCATTCTGTTTCCAGAACTTTTCTTCTTACTGTTTGCTCTTCTTAGCCTCATTTTTCTTTTTCATCTCACCTGGTCTATTTCTGGAAATGCTTCAATATCACCTCAAATGTCAGCTCCTGAGAGAACTTCTCTACCACCATCCTCAGGTGTCACCTCTTCTGTCACAGCAGGAGTATTGGTTTCCTTTCCAGGAGGAAAGGGGAGGGGCCCACACCAAGGCTTAGGGCTTGTGGATGCTAAAGGGGTTTAGGAAAGTCAGGCCTGACTCAGACCCAAATCCCTGTTTGGAAGAGTCTACTTGGGCCCAGTGGGGGTGGTGTGGGGACAGCAGACACACAAGTCGTGGGCAGGACTCACATTTGGGGGAGAGCCCCATGGTGGCTCCATGTGGGGTGTCAAGGAGAAGAGGACTCATCCAGGGGGCTAAGAGGAGAGGGGCCTGGGTCTAATCCCGGGAAGAGAGCTGGGAAGGCCTTGCAGACTCATGTCAAAAGGCTCGAGTTCAAGGCTGCATTCTCACACAAAGTGCCTTAGGTCCCAGCTGGTGAGGCAGAAGGTGAACAGTAGAGTCTATGTAGGTGAGATTAAGAGGAGGCCAGTTCTCCAGGGAAGAAGGGGAATTCTGGTTCAGCCTATTGCATGCGCCTGGCAGCCAGCCTCCTGCAGACCCCAGATCCTGAGTCACTGATTGGTCCCTCCCTGGAGCAGAGGTGACTTAGGAGAGAGGTGAGACTGAGCTGCTGTTGATGCTCACAGCTGGAGCTGGACCAGCAATGGGTGGGGCGGGGACAGGGACCCTCACACTGAGAGCTATGTGTGCTGCCAGCTAAGAGGCTAGGGGAGGAGAAAAAGAAGGATGCTTGGCTGCACCCCTCCCCATCGCTACAGGTATCAGGATGCAGGCCCTTCTCTTCCATCAGAGCTCCCACCAGGTCCTCCCATCAGAGTGAGAATCAGGACCTGAGTAAAGGGAACAGACCGACTCATTACACACTCTAGTCCTCTGCCTAAACTTTTGACATCAAGGCCTTGGGCTGCCTGTGATGTGGTAAGGGAGGAGGAGGTTGATACAAGCTGGTGGAACCAGGGAGGTGGTGACAGATCGGGGAAATACATGAGCCTCAGTGAGGGCAGCGCTGGAGATGGGGAGTCACTGGGGAGCTGACCCCGGAGAACTCACCCAGGATTTCCTCTGCCACTTAGACCAACACTGTTTCTTTTCTGAAGAAAAGATGCTCCTAAGAAGCCCCTGAGAGTGTGGTCTGTGTCACCACTCTGCCTTTTGGTTGGCCGCCTTTGGGTCACCTGCTGTGCATTTCTAGACCACCAGGAATTCAAACTTTAGAACTCCAGAGCCCACTTTCAGATGCTGATGAGAAAGTCCACGCAATATCTCAGGTTCCTTATTGCATTTGGCGATTCTCCTAGTCAGCGCCTTTTCTTCACATATTACGCCACTCCGTCTTGGTGCTCAGTGCTGGAATGCCTGCACTTCAGCTCAATTTGAGCTGCTTGAGCAAGAAATATGAAAAAGGAGAACACTTTCCATCTTCTCCTTTGGGTTTGGAAAATGACATTCTTGTCTGCATCCTGACCCTGTTCTTGCGAATGATAGTGCTGGAAAAATATTGTGTGAGACCACAGAGCTTCAGGGATTCTTTCTCTGTCCTGGGAAACAACCTCATTGTCTTTTCAACAGATCAATGTTTCATTTATGATTTTTGCTTTTCGTAACCTACTACCCGACAATGACATTTCAATAAACCTCTCTATATTCTAAAAAAATTATTTTGGAATTTTCTTTTCTTACCCAGTAGAGAATTTATGGCATCGCTATTCCTCCACATTGCGGGGCACTTATGACTGGTGATTCTGCTAGATTTTTTGGAAACCTGCAATTAACTAGCAGTCCAGCTGTGGTCTAAATGAGGTATCCTGATACCTCATGTAAACAAATATTCTGGGAATTTAGGAAGGAGACTCTTTCTGATGTCAGCCCAGATCCCCCACCCCAGCAGTGACTCTCCTGTGATCCCTCCACCTGACTCTGCTCTTTCAGTGAGAAGTCAGTCTTCACAGCAGAAACAGCTCTGCTTCTAAAGGTTGTTTTACTTCCCCTCCGACAGAGGATCAGTATGTGGAATATAGAATGACCTCCTACAAATACATACGAGTAAGTCCAGTTCTGCTAACATTTGAGCAAATGTTTTGAGCAGTTCACGAAAGGTGAATAAGCCTATGAAAAGACTGAACATATTCCAGATCATCAAGATAACACAAAAGAAAAATGAGTACCCTTACACATCAAGCAAATGGACAAACTCTTAAATATAGCAAGTCGTGGCCAGGAAATGGAATAACTGGAGTTCTCTTACATAACTTGAATCACTCCTTTGACATGTGTTTCACCAGATCCTACCAGGGGATGATGTGTTTGTCCTACTACACAGCATTCCCAGTGTTCATTCCAGGCTGGCAAACATGGACCACAAAGCATGTAGATAGTCTTTATTGTAGTGCTGTGTCATAGTAAAAAACTAGAGTTAAGATATCCAACTGAAGTAGGATATATTTTTCAATCTAGTTAAAGATTTCTATTTCTCTCTACATCAGAGTGGATTATCTGAAATACTATTAAAAATAAGACCACCAAATGACAGATAATGAAACTTATAAACTTTTCAAATACATATTGGAAAACTTCTGGTTGACATACAATAGCAGTGGCTACATAAAAATAAAAATAAATCTCTCCAGATACATTTAAAAATTACCCAGATCAACAAAAGGGACAAATAAAATACCTTAACCCACATCTTTAGCTGATCAAGGAAATGAAAAATACCTAACTCCATCAGTTCCTTTGACTCTAAAGCACATGATTACAATGGTGAGACTTGACTGGGGTCTGAGGAGTAGAGAGTAGTCATATATGGAAGGGAAGTCTATTTCAGTGATTCCATTGTGATGGAGGGGAGCGGCCTGGTTTGTAGGAAATACACGCTAAGTGTATGGCATCAGAGGACATCAGGAAAAATGAGGGGACGTCAGTGTGACAGCTCACTGTCATATGGTTCAGCAAGAGAGGTGCTCTGCACAGAACTCATAACTTCTCTATCACTTTATGCTTGTGTCAAAAATTTTTTTTGTTACTGAAGATGGGAGTGGAAGAGACACTTAATTTTCAGAAAGGGATGTAAGAAGGTAAATGCCTCAAGAAATAAAATAGAGATCCTGCTGCTTTTTAGAGGCAGGTCTTCCCCCGATGTTCCCTTCTCACCCTTCTGTGCTCCACCTTTCTCAGCCTCTCGCTCCTCGACCTCATCACATGGTCAGCCCAGGCCCTTCTAGAGACTAAAGCAGCTCAGACCAGGAATGAGGGGTGTGCAAATTCACTGTTACAGATCCTGACCCTCACTAGGATGCAGGAGCTGGCAGGTGACTGACTCAGAGAAAAGGGCTTAGCAGCTCTTCTAAGATTAGATCCTCCCTCTAAGGTGTGTGTGTGTGTGTGTGCTCCCAATCACTTTTCTGCTTGAAACTCATGACTGCCAGGGGATTTCCCACACATCCTCCCTGTCCCATTTCACCTCCTGGAATCTCTCTCTCTCCAATACCCTAAGGTGAAGTCACTCTGGCCTACCTGCTGATCCTCCCCATCATGCTTCCATGCTGTTCTCGCATATTCCTGTCGGGTATTCTGGTTCCCACTGGCCAAGAGCCAGCTGACCCTGAAAGATATCCCTTCTGTTTTAATCAGGGTTTCCAAGAGAAACAAAACCAGTACGATGTGGGGAGAGAGAGAGAGACTTATTATAAGGAATTGCCTCATGTGGCTATGGAGGCTGTCAAGTCCACAATCTGCAGTGTGGACTGGCTCACTGGAGCCCCGTGGAGCCCATGGCACAGATGAAGTCTGAAGGCAGTCTGCTGGAGGATTCCCTCTTCTTAGGAGATGTCAGCCTTATTGTTTGTTTCAGCCCTCAACTGATTTGAGAAGGTCTACCAACCTTATGGAAGACAATCTGCTTTACATAAAGTTCATCAATTTAAATGTTAATCTCCCCCAATACATTCTGCAAGTTGACCAATGAAATTATCCATCACACATCCCCAGGATAAAAGAATCACCTCCTTTCCCCTCCTCTGTGTCCTAAGACCCAAGTCCATAGTAAGAATATCACACTTGGTGAGAGGTATTTGTATATTTGGGCACTCCACACTTCAAGTGGGCATTGGGAATAGAATGTGTCCCTTTATCACTTTTGTAAAACAGAGTCTAAAACACGCTGTTGTTCAATCACTCTGTGATCAATTGAATTCCCTTGGGGAACAGGAGCAGAAAGAGGGGTCCCCTCATGCGTGGAGGCCCACTTTACAGCACAACCATCCATAGCGAAAGCATCCCCAAATCCATGGCTTTAACTCCATCACCACTCGGTTCATCAGAATGAACACTCCAGCCATCCCCAACAGGGAGACCCTAATGCAGCATTACCTGCTCCTTGTGAGGCCAGTGGGTATTGTGGACAGAAGTGAGAGAGAGGTTGGAGTCCAGTGGTCCCTGGCTCTTGGGAGGTCTTTGCCTGGTGTGAAACCTGGGGAGATACCTGAATTCCATTCTGTCCCTATTCAGTGAGTCTTTTCCCTATTAAACAAGAAAATAGAGTAAGTCCTCCTACTGCACACATTCTACATATGGAAAGGATGAGCTCCAAGTGATAATAAGTCCCTAATGTCCTCAGGCTGTGGGAAAGTGGAGGAGGCCTATAGCAGGGCACAGGGCCTGTCTGTATTTGAGGATAGGGACATGGGATAGCAGCAAATTCTGTGAATTAACAGGTATAAAGGAGACTAGAAAGTTCTGGCCTGATTCACTAGAGTCTCTACGCAGGAGGGGCGTGTGCTGTGTGGTGTGGAAGACAAGAGACACACAGGGGATGGGCAGGACCCCGGTTTGGGTGGGGCAAGAGCTTGGTGGGTCCAGGTGATCTGTGTGTGGGAAGAGACTCCCATGCATAGGGCTAGGGGACAGGGGCCTGGGTTTCATCCCTGGGAGGAGACAACCAGGAAGAGCCTGGCAGCCCCAACACAGGTGAGGTAGGCAAGTGACTGGGAGAATGGGAAGAAGGCAGAAGGCTGGCATTAGAGACCCAGCAGGATGGCCAGTGGGAGGAGGATGGGCCTCTGTGGGCATCTGGGCATTCGTGGCTCACCTTGCAAGCTCCTGGTCCCCAGACTCACGCGAGACCCCAGGGTGGGTAGAGTTGCTTCCTGAAGCTATTTTAGTGGGTGTGGACTATATAGATCACACTTCCAGAAATAGGAATCAGGAATCTGGATGAAATTATGGCTGCTTTGCCTGTGCTAGCTTCTTCCTCTTTCATTGAATCTGTTTCCACATTTGTAACATGGGTAACGCTACCTCAGGGAAGAGGTATGCTTGTCGTCCTCGGGGCAAAAGAGGACTCTGAAAGAGGTGACTTTGGTGAATAAGAAATGTAGGAGAATGGGAGGGGGGAGGGCAGGAGAGGGAGAGAGGGTGCAGCAGGAAAGGCTGCTGAAGCCCCCAGTGCCCAGCTCGCCCGCCCCTCGGGAAGTGGGAGCCTGAGCCCCTGGCAACCGAGGTGTGGTCAGGACAGGGGGCATTCCCGCAGGGACGTGACCCCCAGACGCTGCCTACCCTCCTTTGCTCACACAACTGTCCCCGCACACCCTCCATCCTGCCCACCGCTCGCCCCCGGGAACCTCCCAGGGCACCTGGCCAGCAGATCACGGCACATGCAGCCCCAGCCACTGGCCCCCAGGAGTCCCTGGTCCTCCACCCCAGCTCACACCCTTTCACTGCCCGCCTCACCCCGTCCCCCTGCACCCCAGGGCCTCCAACACCTTCCCAAATGGGAACTGTCCCTAATCACCTCTCTACCAACTGACACCTTATGCCCTTGCCTGAGGATACAGTCCAGTGAAAACTTCCACACATGGCCCGCAGAACCTGGGGTAGGATGGAGGGGAAACAAGGGGATGGTTTCCTGCCAGACAGACACCTCCTGGGACTCCTCCAGCAAGGAAGGGACTCTGACCTTTAATGGGTAAGGGGGAGGGACCAAACCCTTCAGAGATTCTCTCCCTGTCACAGATATGGGGGTGGGGAGTGCCTAAGGGTCCTTTTCTCCCAACCCCAACCCTCACCTGCGTTTTTCCTTCTCAGATGCTTGCTCGTTTTGCTATGACTTAACCATCATTCCTGAGCCCAGACCTGGACAACCATGGTGTGAGGTTCAAGGCCAGGTAGATGGAAAGACTTTTCTTTCCTATGACTGTGGCAGCGATGAGGTCAAATCCTTGAGTCTCCTGGGAGAGGAGGTGAATGGCACGAGGGTCTGGCAAGAACAGATGGAAACGCTGAGAGACGTGGGGGACTTGCTCAGACAGCAGCTCCCTGACATTGAACTGGAGAAATACATGGACAGGGGTAAGTTAGAAAGTCCAGGTGCAAGACGGAGCAGGTTGTGGGGTTAGCTGCATTTATTGTACTCATGTAAAAAAAAAAAAAAGGAGGGTGGTCCTTCACAAGTAGCCAAGCAGAAAGGGCAGGTCTCAGAGGAGAGATCAGGGCAGATACAGAGGGGCCCAGACGGGGTGGACAATGAGAGGGGACAAAGGATTTGTCAAGACTAGAGGCTGACCTCTTTGCCTTGGGGGCTGTGGCAGATCCTCTCCCCCTGCAGGGCAGGATGATGTGTCAGTGTAAAGCCCATGGACACATGAGCGCATCCTGGCAGTTCGGCTTCCATGGACAGATGTTCCTCCTCTTTGGCTCGGAGAATGGAACCTGGACGGTGCTTCAACCTGGAGGCAGACGGATGAGAGACATGTGGGA